CTTGCGGGGATGGGTTAAATGCTGAGCGTGAATTTCCCCATTGTGGGAGAATAAAGATTTAAAATATATCAATTAATATTAATGGGATGTTGACATGTTATAAATCTCGTTTCACACACCTCTTTTTAAACATTATCAGTTAGTTTAAAACTCCCTGAAAACCACGAGTCCAAAAGGACTTAACTTGGTTTTCGTATGAGACAAAGACACCAGACTTTGTCCGCCTCAAACACTGATTGGAGAATCCTGAACCAGTTTGAACGTTTCTTCTGCCCTGCAGGCGTGAGCTTCCTGGAAGGTAAGGAGGACATCTTTGAGGACTGGAGGGAGAAGTTCTTCAACACCTGGAGGGTAAGAAAGTAGAAAGTCACCTTCCCCTCCTCCACACATGGTGGCCACATCTCTGTCAGCCTGCAGCCAGATTAACCCACATGTGCCGCTGATGGTGCGTAGAGTAAATCAGGCAGCGGATAATAATGTCACTGAGTTCCAGGTTGCGTAGGAGGAGGGATCCTGGCGCAGCGTCAGGATGCAGATTAACGACCCATTAGTGCCTGTGGTTACATAATCCAGGAGACCAGTGGTGAATAGTAATCGATACGAATAAAAATCAATTAAAAACTCATAAATGACAGAGATTTGTTGTCTTTAAACCACTTTTCAGGTGTTTTTTTTTTTATTGTTTTTTTTTAGATGGGATAGGCCATGTTGATCAACACGAGCTCTAAATTCCCAGTGTAAATATGCCAGAGTTAGCCATGGAGGCTAATCTGGACCTGTAGTCCCAGGGCAAGTTGATGCTTACAGATATTACACACAATAAAAATAAATATTAAAGCACCTTCAGTTAATGAGGTTGGAATATTTGCCTTTTCAGTCAATCAATCAATGAATCAATCAATTTCTTTATTGTCAACTACAATTTGCACTGTAATCGAGATTTCATTGGGGGGCTGAGAGGGGGGAACAGTTTACTGAGGCCATGCGAGCCGCAGAACGCAGCCTTTGGCGCGTTCCTATGCCTCCCGAGGGCCACAACCCGTAAGCGGTTCCCTATAGCACTGAATTTATATCTGTGGAAAGATAGGAGCCACATTGGGGAGGGAGAGGAGAAAAAAAAACATATTTCAACATTTATCTTTGACATGATACAGTTTGAGATATCCAAAAAACCTCAACACAAGAAAAGCACATATAAAATACAAGACAAACATTTCAGCAGAAGGAAAACATCGGAGGCTGGAGCCACATGAAAGTAGATCTGAAATTAGTTGTGTGTGTATGATGATGTGCGTTCAATTCTTCCATGAACGCTGTCCACAGGTCATTGTCCTTGATGAGATGGAAGTTTATCAACCGGCGCTCCAGTTCTGGATGGATCCATAGATGCTCGTAGGTAGGGGAGGGGGGGAGCAGTTCTTCTTTGCCCTTTCGACATAACATCCTGGGAAGATTTTGTTAAAAAAGGGGGGGGGGCAAATCCAGAATAACATTTATTGTTTTGAGAGCAGGCTGCACAGGAATTTTCTGTCAGATTTGAGTCTTTTCTTGCTGGCTCTACATGGCGAATCCAATATTCCAAATTTGTTGGGCTTTTCCCCCTTCAAGCAAGCATGCACATCCAAGATATTATCTCATCTCACCTGTGAGTTCAGCCACTGCAGCCAGCCTGCGTTCACCCAGCATACCGCTCAGCTCCCCATCTTGCTCGTTCCCAGCCATTCTGAGTGTGTCAACCAACACATTGAAAGACACATCTACTCCCAGGCTTAAGTTTTTTATGTTGTCTATTATGTAGGGTGACCAAACGTCCGTATTTCCCGGGACATATCCGTATTTCACGTCCTGTCCCGGGCGTCCCGGGTTTTTTTTAGAAAGTGAGGAAATGTCCTGATTTCACTGCGCACGACGCTCCGTGTGACGTAATCCCTGACCCCCGTAAGTGCGGGCCAACGCGGTCTACCTAGACTGGATCCTTCCAAGTCCTTGAAAATAAGGAGGCCGGAAGAGTTTTGTCT